TTTGGCCACTTATTCATTATACATTCTTCTTTCGTCACTAAATTCTCATAAACACATCATTTTAGCATTGCAAAGTAAGTTTATAATTCTCAAATCTTATGCCTCGTTATAATTTCATGTATAAAAATTCTTTTCAGTCTTTTCTAAATTATTTTTAGTGCTACTTTTATGTATTAAGTATCTCTCCTTCGGCGAAAACGGGAATATAAATAATAAAGATCCACCTTTTCTACTAATTAAATATTTAAATTCTGGAAATTATATTAATTATACATTATATACTAATAATGTAATGGAATAGTATTACAGCATTATAGCATCTCCCTGCAGAAATAGCTACGAAAGTTTCCTCTTGCTGCGTGCTTTTTACTTCTTCTTTTCCGGTTTCGCAAAAATCTCGGATCTGTCGCGGACAAAGGGTCTCCATTTTTCTCGATCGTGTATTAGCAACTCGAATCCGGCGCATCGGCGGCGGCGGTCTCGCGCGATCCCAAACCTGTTTTCTGCATCCGTAACCTGATACGGACAATTCGTACGAGATTCGAGCCACAGCAACACCGGCGGTCGTGAGAAGAAAGCCGTCTTCAGAAATCCACATCGACCAGTGGATTCGCGGAGCTGCGTTTTTAGAAGTGACGTTTAACGCCTTTTATTCAATAGATTTCTTTCATCACTTAGATTAATGATGCAATTTACAGAAATTTCAATGATAAAATGAATAATCGATCGCTGAAAAATAAAAAAAAAAAGTCAAAATTAACGCGTGTAATTCTTTATTATTATAATAACGATGATATAACTGCATAAATGCATAATATAATTAGTGAGATTCATAATTTTTAGCTACTGATGATGTGAGAAAATGAAGAAAGTGTATAGTTACATGTGGCATTTTGCATTTTATTTTTTTCGAGTTGAATAGTTCGTGGAAATTCACTTGATTTAGTAACCAAAACTTTAGTCATAAACAGAAGCGTCGAGCGGTGACGACGACAAAATTCTACTCCGTGCTCACGACAGGATTTATTGCCGCGACCAATAGAACATAAACCTCTTTTCCCTCGGTATGTACAGTACCTATGTACGATTACGCAACGCCGTAAAAATCGTGTTCTAACTAGAGACGTATAATCAAAACGGTTTTATGGCTACAACACTGAAATAGTGATACGTATACATCTTAATGTAAATTAATAAATAATACGCGGATTAAATAATAAATGAAACATAAAATAGTAGCAAATAAAAGTAATACAAGTAGAATAAATACAATATACACACAAACGTATTATACAGTAATATAAAGAATGAGGTAATAAAACCAAAGAATCTGCATAACAATGAATAATTATTTTTATGTCACCGCCATTCGCAATATAGTAGTAAATGTGGTTTACTTCGCGAAATTGCATAAGCCGTGAATTATTATCCAATATATTTTCTAATGTATATTTTCAAATGTCGCGTATAATTCGTCTCGGTAATTCGAGAAATATGATTAATCAAGGCGAGATATGCAAAAGGGTATCGGCCTTTCTCGTCGTCGTCGTCGTCGTCGTTCAATTTACGTAGTTGTACCCCACTCTATCCGAGAAACCAGCAGCAGCCAACTGGTTTAACTTGACTGGTTCCCTCGGCACGAGTGTCACGAGAAGTATGACGAAGACATTTGAAAATTTGTACGCCTCCGAGAAAATACCATATGAAACATTGTTTTATTTTTCTCACGACTCACAGTGCGATCGTTGCCGATAACATGCTTCGAAGGCTTCACAGTTGTAAAGGAGACATACAAAAAAGCATGTCATTAAAGGCGATTATGAAACAATTAGGCTGTATTAATTTCGCGAAATTGTTCTACGTAACGGAATATTGCAAGAAGAAAATTATATACATGCGACTGCTCACACGTTTTCATTTAGATAATATCTATATTTAATAGATGCTATACAATTAGTTTTTATCTCGAGATAAAATCATGCAACGCTAAGTAAATAAACTGTATATAATTAAAAATGAAGAGTAATTCCTATCAATGTATGAAATTCGGTCCGATTTGAAATTAGTTTTTGCGAACGATGCACTACGATCGGTAAATCTGCTGACGGTTCGAAATTTCACACATTCCACGTGTGTATATAAAGTTAGCGTCTTTGCAAGTAGAATGACAAAGTCCAACTTACAAAGTTCGCAATCTTACAATCCGTTCTGACGCTGCGGGAACATTTCTCGTTAAAAGACTCATGCGGATCGACTTCTCGCAAAGGCACGTGCTCTGACTGTCAACTAATTTAAGTAATAAAATTCCGACTGCGAGAGCAGTCACGATACGAGTTCATCTACTCGCCTCTGAATTTTGTGGAGAATTTGTTGTCGCTTCAAACATTCTTTTGTAAAGAGAGACAAGTATTCGAACATTGAGACTCAGTGAAATTGTTATAAAACTTTATTACAAACTACACATTATTCTGAACATTATTCTGTACATTATTCTGAAAAACTGTATTTTTTGCAAATTATAGCATACTTAATTAAAAATTAATTTTCTTGTTATGAAGTAATACTACTTTATTTTTATAATCATCTATTACTTAATTCTTTTACATAATAATAACTATGTATGTACTGTCGGATGCTTTTATTATACGCGCTTCTATTCTTTGTATGGTCATCATGAGATTAATTAATCACATTACGTCATGCATTAACGAGAATATACTTCTCGTGACCGCGGAATAACGAGCGTGTTCTTCAGATGTGCGTGTATTAAGTCGGGCAAAGCCCAGCCTTCTATGCTTCCATTATAATCACGCACGATTACACCGAAAAGCTGGAAAAGCCACAAAGCCACAATACCTCGAGATAAAAACGTAAGTTCGAGATAAAAAGTTTCGCACATCAATTTCTTTTTTCCGAAGAAACGGAAGAAGATTTTAAACTCATTAATTCTTTACTTAAAAGATGAAAAGAATTGAAAAATTGTTATTAACCAGCACGCGGTTCTAAATTTTTTTTTAATACATTTCTTTCGAATTCGTCTAAGATTGTCAAAAAATGAGAGATCCAAATGCGAGAGATAACTTTTAGAATCATTTCCGGATTCCATGAAGACCGGTCTTTGTTACACATGTAATTTCTGCAAAATGTTCAAGTGGTGGTTCCCGAGGCAAAAACAAGCACGTGTCGTTTCACAGAAATCCGACGGCCACGAAAACGAGAGGGATGGGAGGTAACTTGGTCGCGTCGGGCTTTTGTTTCCCGACGAGACAATCTACGGGTCGAGGTGTGTGGCGCTTAGGACGGGTTCTTCTGTCTCTCTCGCTCTCTCTGCACATATCGATCTTCTCTCATACACATCTGCCATTTCCGGTCGCGCGCACGACGTTATTACTATAGGCACATACATCGGGGAGGTGAGGGGACCCTTTTCGCTGAGGGTTCCGTGATGGGTACTCGAAAGGGCGACACAGGGGAAAACAGCACGAATCGCATCATCCCGCGTTATTCGCGCGACAATCTCGCTGAACAGAAGCGCGGCGAAGCATCGCTTCTGTTCCGCTTTTGTTAAAAAAAAAGTGACAAGGAACGGGAATAGTTGTCGTGAGGTGGACGACAATTGTCTGCAAAGTGAAAATTTATCTGCAGAAAGGAATCCATATAGGGCCAGTATTGACTAAGTACTGGATGATAACTTGGGCCCAGTACTGGCAGTTGGTACTGGTCCAATTATTTCAGCCAGTGATGGCCTGATACTGGCTAACAGAACTTTGGCCGCCAGTCATTTGACAGCCAGTCATTTGTCAGCCAGTCATTTGTCAGATGGCCCAGTATGGCTGACAGAACCTTGATCGTCAGTTGACAATAAGGTTAGCTAAGCGTTGGTTTCATTGCTGGTAACTATTGGCGACCTTATATGGAAAGTTAACGAACACTGCTAATTCCTAAAGCTATCAATTAAATTCTCATCTTAAACAGTTTTGAGTTTTTCTACAAATATTTCAAACAAGATTTTGACGAGGAGCTATTGCGATCGATTGATCTAGAGTTAGTATTTTGTCTGTTTTGTAAGTGACGGGTTTAATCGAGTGTTTTACTGTTAATTATATTTCAAAGACTTGTCTTTGCAATCTTTCGCGAAATTCAATTAACTCCTTAAACCGCGCCTTAAATCGAGAAACGTCACCAAAAAAATCAGAATCAGATAAGATTGATTGGTTGGTTGATATAAAATGTAGTCTACCATGGAGTTTACTACTGGAACTTGTAATTGAATTAATTATGAGGTGATCTACTGTATAATTGGCATAGAACTCGGCGCAACCTCGTCTTTCTTTCCTAAGCAATGTTTGCGCAATTCAGTCATTATAAATTACTGACTTATATGATAGGAATGCTAATGCTTGCCCCTCACCGTTTGACTCAATGAAACGCATTTCTAATCACGATCGATCAGCTGCGTGGCATTCATTAGGCATAACGGTAACATAAACTGATTGCTCGTTAACTGAAGACAGCCTTCATTCATACTTCTCGACTGTTTTTCTGAATTTATTTCCATATAGCGTCTAAGAATCGTATATGAATGCTAACGTTTTTGTGTCCTTTTAGAATAATAATAACGCAATCGAATTTGCTGACATATTTCTATATTATTTTTCTTTCTAGAGAAAATTTCAGCAGTTAATGTTTTTTTTAATTATGAGTTACAAGATCAAAAATGAAACGCTTTTCATAAACAAAGCATCGGAAATAAAAATATATATATATATAAACAATAAAACTAGTTTTTTTTCATTTAGTTTCATGTGTCTCTTTGGCGGAATGTTAATTTAAAACTCGATTGCTATAAAATAAAAATCAGGAGCTTATAAAAGGAAGTGATAAAAAATATTATAGTGACAAAAAATATTCCCGTTATTTTAAGTTAATTCTTATTCATTGACAATTCTGTCGATGATGATAAAAATGAAGCATTTCTTCCTTTTACAGGTTAAACGAAAATGGCGGTATTTGGCTTGGTCTCGGCGGTCGCCGGATTCGTTAAGGTGCGATATTTGATCGACAAGGCTGTTATTGACAACATGGTCTTCAGAATGCATTACAGAATCACGTCAGCCATTCTGTTTCTTTGCTGCATTATTGTTACGGCCAATAACTTGATAGGTAAGATATCTTCTTTCAATTTCTGCCGCGTCTGTCTATTTTCTCTCAAGAGTTCTAGAAATCCTTGAAAGTCTTCTAGAAATACAATCGAGAATTTTTCTTATGTTGCGAATTATCTTTGACTTTTATCGTCGACTTTTATGGTCTTCAAAGTGAATACGATTATTATTGTCTTAGTTTATTCAAACATAAAATGACTAAAAATGAAAATTTATCACTTAATATAACAGCAAATATGATAAATGTCGGTAAATATAAAAACTTTTATAAAAGAGCAAGGGAAGATTCGGCGATATTTCAAAACGCGAAGAATGAGTTTAAAAATAGAGAACGCAAAGATGAGAATCATTTAAGCTGTCCGTATGCGTGGGATATCGCCAGGTTAAAGATCAAGCGACTACTTGCACCGTAAGCCAAGTGCAGCCGGTCGCCACCTAATCAGATGGTGATTAGGGGGATTCGGAGGCGAGGGGATGACGTCGCATCTCTCTTGAGACTGTACGTTTATGCCAAAGATCGAAGTCTTCAAACACAAATTCTGTGACGCTCCTTTGTCGCCACATACCGAAGACAATGTTTAATGTCGCGACGAACGGTTGATTAGAAGAAGAGCCGTATTCGCATCTAATGATCATAACATACCACTCGGTACATGTCTGTTTCTTATTACGACTGTCGGTGAATCGAGGTCGAGTCGCGTGATTAATGACGAGCGAATCTCTTTGATTACGCGGGATGAAGCAGTTGGGAAGTAGCAATTATGCTGTAAATGATTACATGTATGTAACATTAGGAAAGAACGTACTCCTGCACTACTCCTCGTTGTCGACTGTCGGGATCGAAATGCGAATGGATCGTGTCAATAAAAAAAGTTACAGATTAATGAGTTAAATAATGTACGAAAATTTATTATACAGAGCATACGGCATTGATAAATCATGTTTCGATCCGCGAAATTAGACATCCGATATTTCAAAGATCTTTAAAAAAATTTACGATCTCGAAACTCGCGCTCGTTATAAGATGATCGGATAAACTATGAGTTGGTGAACCGTTGCGTAACTTAATTGTCCATAAACGGCACGATGCGAAACATCTGGTACGCATGCGAGCTATGCGGCACACATGTGACTTGCATTTACAAAAAGGAAAATCTCGGGGAAATCTATTCATCCTAACTATATTTTCTACCCTCATTTGATCTTCTATTTCTCCTCTGTGCATCAACGTGTACCAATTTTAAACATTTTATAAAACAATAACGTCCTTTTTTATGTCATACTATAAAAATGTTATGATCTATTTTATGATATATTTCTTTTATATCGTATATATTTCTAAAAATAACATTGAGATTTTTTTTATTTAATGTACTAAAAATAATATTTACAATCTTTTTAAACATTTTCTTATTTAGGAGTTAAAAAATATAGGCAGGGCTGCATAGCTTTCCATAAATTTCTGCATTAATTCCTTATTATTTAAATTCGTTACTCTTGTTAATTAATCAATATTATTGATAAACAACTTTTAAGAAAAAGTTTTCATAAAAAGACTTGAAGGCGAACAACAGATAATAAAGAAGGTATATTATCTAGATGTGTATTGTGAATTTAATATTCAGAACAAACTTCAATGTATTATCAAGACGTCAGGTAAGATACTTGATGCTCGGGTTTCGAGTGGTATCGTCTAGTCTTATATAGAACCATCACGCAGCATCCACTAAGCGATTCGTTTACAGCGCGTCGTATGTCACGTATAAAGAATTATCTTCGTAAGCATAGATAACGTTCCTGCGACGTTCACTAATCACGGGGGATTAACATGCATTACGGCAATTTCACGGGATAACTCCAGTAATCGTGCTTGTAAGATGAACGATAAATGTGCAAAGAAAAGTGCTTCTTCAGAATTGTAATTTATTGTGTCAAAATACAAGAAATCCCGTCCATAGTTTTATGTATCAAGCAATACGAAAAACATCTGAAAAATTATTTAAAAAATACACATATGTATTAAATACATATATTAAAACATATTAAAATATCCAAAAATGATAAAATTATAAAGACTATTCCTGAAATCTAAGACGAATTAAAGCGTGTGTAAAATATGTTTTATATATTTTATAATTCGAAAGATTCGAGCTACCCCGCATCTCATTTCTCACGTAATTTATGTTATATCTCGCATCTAACTAGTAAATATACAGAGAGACCATCGATTTCATCGATCGTGATCGTAAAACGGCCGCGGCCTGTAATCCTTTGTCTTTCTTTCGCAGGCGATCCCATCAACTGCCTATCGGAATTACCCTCCGGCCATGTGATCAACACGTATTGCTGGATCACGTACACGTTCACGCTGCCGGGAAACAACGCGAAGCCCGTGGGTACCCACGTGGCCCATCCGGGTCTGGGTGGCGATTACGGGGAGAAAAGGTACCACTCGTACTACCAGTGGGTGCCGTTCATGCTGTTCTTTCAGGGCGTACTGTTCTATTTACCACATTGGATGTGGAAGCAATGGGAGGAAGGTAAAATCAGGATGATATCCGAAGGCATGAGAGGTACCACGATGGATTCTAAGCAGGAGCGGCAAGCTAAGACCGAAAGACTGGTTCAGTATCTCATGGAGACCATGCACTTGCATAACAGCTACGCTGCCGGATATTTCTTTTGCGAGGTTCTCAACTTTATCAACACCGTGAGTATACATTTGCGACATCTAGAAACGATATTAGAATGATTTGAAAGACGCTAGCATTTAAATCTTGTTTTATTAAATATAATTTCGCGTAATTTCATCACTATAGAATATTTTTTAAGTTATTATAAAGCTACAAAATCACGCAAGATATTAATATATCACTTCTACAAAAGTAGGATCATACTTTTTGTATTAAATTGATGATACTGAAACAATGTCTTGTCTGCTCCAGGTTGGTAACATCTTCTTCGTAGACACGTTTCTGGGCGGCGCTTTTCTTACGTATGGTACGGATGTGTTGAAGTTTAGCAACATGAATCAGGAGCAACGTACTGACCCGATGATCGAAGTATTCCCACGCATAACTAAGTGTACTTTTCACAAGTTTGGTGCCTCTGGTACAATCCAGAAATTGGACGCGCTCTGCGTACTCGCGCTCAATATTCTCAACGAGAAAATCTACATCTTTCTGTGGTTCTGGTTTATCATATTGGCCGTCGTTTCCGGCTTGGCGGTCCTGTACAGCATGGCCATAGTGTTGATGCCCAGCACGCGCGAAACGATTATCAAGAAGCGCTTCAAGTTTGGCACATCAACTACCGTTAGCACGCTTATCCGAAAAACTCAAGTAAGTTTTTCTTTAGTTGGTCAATTATGATAACTTAAATCTCGCGAAGAAAATACTTTTGTAAAAGATGCCGATAAAACATTTGTTTCGAGTAATATAATATATAGTAGCATAATAGTCTGGAAATACTGATAAATATATTTTTAAAAGTTCACTAGACGATTATTACGAACGCGATAATCCACTTAAGAATTTAACAGAAACTCTCGAATAAAAGTTAAGGGACTCTATAACTGTCGACGCGATACAACTTTTGTGTTATAAATGAAATCTTCGGATAATGGAAATATAAAAGTGTCTTCTTAAATGAAATTATAATCTCACATTTTAACGTGACATTTTATTCTGAAATTTAAAAAGAAAATCGAATTTTGTGCAGGTTGGCGACTTCTTAATGCTCCATTTGCTGGGTCAGAATCTGAATCTCATGACGTTCAACGAAGTGCTAGAAGAAATGTGTCGTCGTATACAATTCGGTAATGGCAGCGACGCATCGCCAACATCAGTACCTTCGGCACCTAGTACCCTCGAAATGTCGCCAATATACCCAGAGATCGAGAAATACGGCAAGGACACCGAGATCTAAATGCGAGAAGAAACTCGGCCGTCGTCGCTATCATCCACTGCCCTTCTCCCCCTTTTACTTGTTCGTATTGTGATAATATCGAGGGCGGTTTTGCAATGCCGTCATCTCGGTGCCAATAAAGAGACAGGTTCGTGCCGCTCTGTCGAATACATTATCGCGCGAGGAGCTATGTAAAACCATACGCACACTGGACGTCTCTCCTCGTCATCTCCCTGCTGCCCATCGGGGTCTCATGTTTAACGTAGCCTTACTGTCACACGGCACTCGTAAAACGTAAGCTCAGCATTAAAAAATCTTGACACTTGTCTCCTGTCAACGAGAGTTTCGCTCATTACCGCGTCCTTGTTAAAACGTGAGACGATCCTTGACATTTATATTCAATGAGACTTTCAATTGGAAATTTCTGAAAACTGCACTTTGCAAAGTGCTGATCTTTATTTCCTCTCTTTAATCACTTTTCATTCAAAATTGTTATACAATTCATTTCCGATTGGAGATTCATTCGACAGTTTCATTATATTCGCTCGTGTATAAAATAATACATCAATAAATTTGTACAAATTAATGCGCGAATTATCTCGGCAGTTTCTTCGTTGAAACTTTTGTCATTAGAAGATATTCATTTATCATTGTTATATTGCTATTACGCAGTTCTAATATCTGAGCTTGGATTGGAGAAACAGCGTAAACGTAGCCTTCATCATCTCTTTATTCAGCTTACAGTTGTTACGAGATTTTCATGTACCATAAAAACAAAGTTAGAACGCGTAAAATTGCACAAGCCAACCAAGACTTTTTGCCGATTATTTCTCCAATAAGATTTCTATTGTATTACTTATTTTTTCTTCTTATAAGTATTTTCGCTTGAATGATAAATCACGTGGCGAGAATTACGTAACGAGCATTGTATTTCAACATATTAATCAGACTTGTCCACCAGAAGAACGCATACTAATTGTCTTGCACTGCAGCGGCACGAACCGATATTAGATTTATCAAATATATAAATGTAGATGATAACGCGCAATGCTCTCAGATTATAAGACGTATGCACATGTAATTGTTTACAATCGTTAAGTCGCAACACGTTTCCAAATGTGAATAGAGTCACATTCCCACTCGCTATAATATCGAGTCATTTTGATTATTAATCATTTGTTTCATATAAATTTATTCAATGCCGATTTATTTCGCGATTTGGAGGAGAGTAACGGCCACACATGAGACACGCGAATTCATAACGGTGTCCCATGCGCAACATTCCTTTTATACCTTCAAAAGAACAAAATAAAAAGCAGGCATCGAAACGGTGAACATATCGCTGAAATACATTTGATACTTGCTTTTGCAATATGTATAACAAATGTCCCGCAAATCGCTTACATTAGTTAGGGAGCGCGGCAATATTTTACTCAAAGTGACGTAGGAGAACATTCATTATTTCATTACTTGTGACGAAAAATATATCGATGTACGTTATAACGACCTCGTCACAATCACACAGAAATTCAAAGACAAGAATATGCTCAACAACGAATTCTCTAATTTTTTAAATAATTGTACGTATATTGTATGTATATTAAGTATATATATCCGAATATTCGAAGGTTTTCGTGCAAAAAGCGATTTATATGAAGCTTAATGTCCGAGCGAATGTAGCGAAATCCGTGAATTTAGACAATAATATCACAGAATACTATCGCGTACCATCACATAATTATTAACGAAGATGTAAAAATATTGCGACTTATTTTATACTACAGAAGGTGTAATTACATTTATTTTATCTTTGTTAGCCTACAGTAGTCTAATAAAGATAAAATAACGTGTCAATATTCCAAGCAAAAGGAACAAAAAACAAACGTTCATACATCTCACGATTCATTATTTTTTCTATTGTTTCTTTATGCGAATATTTTCACATGATTGGCGCTAAAGATTGTAACAAAGGTTAAAACAAATGATACATTGAAATTTGACTGAAAAAAGAACTGTGCGAGCAATCCCGTGATAATGTGTAGTCAAACGTTTCACATTTAACATCTTCTTTTCCGCAATTCATTTACAGGGGATCTCCACATATCTAAAAATCTATCAAAATAATGTTTCTGCAAATATAATATTAGTTCCTGAACTTTGAAAATTAATTACTTAGAATAAAAGTAGAAAGATTTAAATTTAAATACAACAGAAAGCAGAAAAAAATTATTTAGATATATTATGTTAAATGTATAAAGGAGATTTCTCTATATAGGATTAAGATTTTGCGATATTATCTTGCGATACATAAATACTTTCGTTTTTAACGATGTAGTATTTAACGTAATTAAGTACTGCATTAGCGCTAATTGGAATTGCTTCAATTTATTAAGAAGAACGATATCCCCGAATATTATGTTGTTTCCTAAGTAGACTTTATTTCGTGCGATTAATTATCGCGTATACAATAATCTTCCTTCCTGTTAACAGAAACAATAGAAACTTTCCATCGGATACGTTCCCCATGTCCTCTTGTTCGCGAGAGTAATGTATAAGCGCTACCGACAATAACTATATATAATAACATATAACGCTACGACCCTTCCCTTTACGGTATCCGCAACCCGTTAGATTACCGACAATCGCGCTTCGAGTGATATCTTAAGATAGATGTTTAAGATGAACGAGAGAGAGGGAGAGAAAGAGAGAGAGAGAAAGAGCGAGAGAAAGAGAGAACAATTATATAAGTGTAATAGTTGTTCGTAAAATGTGCCTTTTATACACACATACATACACACACACATATTATATATACACATGTATATATATACATATATATGTGTATGTGTGTGTGTGTGTGTATATATATATATATGAAAAAAGATTACATTAGTGTATTCTTTAGGAAGAGCGAAATGCTTCTTTTGACTCGTGTTTGATGAGAGGAAGACTGTCGACATGTGCAACGTCGTTATAGCGATTAATATGAAAGAGAATGACAGAATAAAAGAAATTCTTTCCAACAGTGTCGTGTATCATTCGCTTTTATGGAGCAATTGCGCGTGCAAGCGAACTTAATTAGCGCATGGTCACGCGAGAGCGAATCAATTTCGAAGTTCTCTTCAGTTGTATCAGCTGAAACTATTCGGTGCAACTGCTTTCTCCAATTGCACAAAAGATCACTTTGCGCATAAATTATTTGACTAAAGATTCTAATAAAAAATGATATATAGGTACATATATCTGTGTGTGTATGTCATTTTTTATTAGAAAGAAATTTGAGTAGATATATATATATAAATATAACTTTTAATATTAAAAAAATATAACTTAATATTTTCTTCTCTATACTGGTAACTACATTAATTCGATTGCTAATAAAAATCAATACGTTATTTGCGCTATTGGTAATAAATATACATAAACAGTGGATAATATGCTTTAATTATAGTATCCATATGCCATCATTAGAAAGCATCCGCGCAAATCGACTAAGTAATTAAAGAAACTCAGTAAGTTTTTCCTAAGTACGAATGATGAAAAGATATTGTTCCCACTTTCATTCCGGTGGCACGTGCCGCGAATTTAGCGTAGAATAATATATTTTTTCCAACTTACCGATTTCCCCAATCCACTTTATTGATTATCCGCAACTTCAACTCCCGCGTCTGATCAGTCGTGAGGGTGCCAGCCAAAAGTTGCCGCCGCCATTCTAATAGTTCCCGCATCACTTTACGCAACGCGTTGAATTTGTACTCCTCACGCTCCTGCATCAGACAGAGGTTTACATATTAAATCGCTAAAAAGTTTTATACGCATCCCTGAAGATAAAGAAAAAAAACTATAAAATCAATCCTTTTTATGAATCTTGTGTTACGTGAAATATAAAGAACAGGAAAGTAAAGGCAAAATAGAAGAAAATTATTAATTAATGAAAATTCATCAAAGAACAGACTTACTTCCTTAGAGAATCCTAATTAATATTAAGATATATACGTTATTTATGTATGTATAAATAACGTAGATATTTTCAAATACAGAAGCAAAGAAGTGAATGAGAAAGAAAGTATTAAAGGATTGCAATTTTTTCTTCATCGATCGCAATTTTAATAACGAAAAAATATTCTCTGAAACGGACTACAAAGACAGATTTCGCAATGAAGAAGAGAGGAAGGAGGGCAAAGAGAAGTACAGAATGCGGTGTACTCACCACGTACAACCTCTTCCAAATACTACCCCATTCTCGCAGGACCAGAGTGACTTCCCGGACCACCGGATCCTCTAATGGTATAACGGATTCGAAAAGACCTTCATTGTCGATTTTGCAGGGCTTCAGATGCACGTAGGAACTCGGGAAGATCCCCTTCACCGCGCGATTCTTCGTCGAGAAACCTCTATACCAGCCTGGAATCGTCAGGAATTTCATTTTAGTTGCATTTTACCGATTGCATTCCACTTATGTCTGAGAATACTCTTATACCTATATATATCTTTGGCACTACACAGATACGCAAACATGGCTATTGCTATTAATTTAGACAATGATGAACGTGAACATTGATGTTAGAATTAATACGAAAAATAGCAGTATTTAATTATTATATGAGACATCAGTCAATAGAATGATTTTGCATGAATCTATGAAATACGATTTTCTTCCTGCACTGAGAAAAAAATAGCCTAAATTTAAATAAATATTTATTTGAATATTGCCAACTAAACATTTACTTACAATAAATAAATATTTATTTAATAAAAAGAAGTGATTGTTAAATCGAATTAATGTTTTTGTACTAAATAAATATATTTTTATATTTAATAAATATTTAGTTGGTATACTATTGAAAAATAAATATTGAAATTTTTAGGATATTTTTCTCAGTGTGTATTATTATTCTGCTTGCTAAATAATTAATGCAATGTTTCTATTAAATTGCGTAAGTTAATTTGAGTAAACTGCCTAAAATTAATTTTAGCGAGGAAATAGTACGAATCGTTTGATACATGTCGATGCAAAAGAATTATTGCATATTAGTAAAATTTTAATAGAAATCTTTAAATTCAGACAAAAATTTTGATATTACGCTTTAATATTCTCTCTTCAATCTCTCTCTGTATCTATATCATTCCCAGTGCTCCATCCTGGTTCAGAATGCGTAATTACGTTATTACTATCGCGCTTCCTGGTGACTTAATCATTTCCCTTGACGTTAAACGATATCGAAACTCGATGCAAAGTACATCGATTTTGTCCATGCGAGAAACACGGGTAAGATCAAGTATCAGATTACGTACCCGCGCACTCCTCCAAGATCTGTACGGTTTCTCCAATTTCCAAGGGTAATCCATATCGCGTGTCCCCCCGCCAGTTGTATACAGCTGTAAAAGAGATCATAGTAGACATTATCAGTGAGAATTGTGTGCCACGATATGACGCAA